CCACGGAAGCTTATGCTCCAATACATCTGTTAGTCTTAAAGGGGCCACAGGAGCCTCTGTTGTTTTTTACTAAATAAATGGGCAGCCGCAGTCTGAACTAGTTGACGTTTCCAAGTGGTTTTAGGGTGTGTACACACTGCAATTACATACCATTGCTGGCCTATGCCAGCTGACTAGGACTCTCAGAGCTCAAGCTTACGGGGCTGTTTAATTGCAACCCATAGATATTTGGGCTTGGGCGTGACCCTCTCACCTCTCAGGGTCCTAGAGTTTATAATCCTATGTATGTTGTGGTATTTTTCTTGTTATATTAATTCAAGGACATTCTCTTCTACAGAAACCAAAGCCAAAGCCTCGGGCATCCATCACAAAGACTCCGTGGGAAAGTAATTATTTTGGGGTGCCTTTGTCCACTGTAGTGACTCCAGAAAAGCCTATTCCCATCTTTATCGAGCGATGTATTGAGTACATTGAAGCAACAGGTAAGAATTTCTCTTGGGGCAAGCATCAATGAGTAAACTGTCCACTGGGAGCTTGGTACAAAAGTCCTATAGTTTGTTAGGAAGTCCAGGATCATATTACCCTTGAGGGAGAGAGGGTTATGAAAATGCTTGTATGCAGATACCTTTGTACATATTGGAAGACTGGAATTACATTTTCCTTAAGCTTCCTGCATTTAACCCTTTAAGTAAGCCAGGTTGCACTGCACGCTTTTGGAAATAAAATAAAATAGGTATTATCCTAAAATCTGTATTACAAGCAGTCTGATAGGTTAAATTGAAATGATTGTCTTTACAATACAGTATTAGGCTGTGAACCTGAATTCCCATTCCTTGCAATTTCAGCTTCCCTGATTTGTATAAGTAATTGACAAATCATTTGTATTTCATGAGATTAGAAAATGAGACAATTTGCTCTGTTGGGATAAAGCTGAACTTTATTTTGGTGCCAATGTGGGCTTGGGTTTGTGCCTCAATCATACTACACTGAAATTGCATGCAGATACTCTAGGACCATGCACTTTGCTGTTTTGTGTCAACAAAAAATAGCTCCTTTAATTTCATTTTGTTTGGCAAATGTATTAAGGTTTGTAGTGCACTGAAGATGTAAACTGCCATTCTTGTGATTTCAGAAATTTGCCAGATATTTACTAGCCACAGAACTAAATGTGGTAGCCAGAGAGTAATATGAAAATACCGCTCCCCCCCAGTCAACAATGTCAAGGAGTGGTGTCCTAATGAGAAACCCAAACCCAACATCCCCAGTGTTGTCATTTTCTTCATAGCACTGGCCCCTAACTTGATGTGCGTGGCTAGGAAAATCTGATTATATACTGAGTTTAATTTTCTGTCTGGCTCCTGGAGAGAGAAGGATGGGGTGTTCTTCCTTCCCCCTTACAGATCCAGAGTGGAAGGGCATCAGGAAGGTTGTGTCTTTTTTACTTTGTTCATCCTCTCCCTGGTTCACACCCCTACTGTTGCTGCTGGTCTCTGCCTTATAGCAGAGTGAAAACGACATTACTTTGGCCTGCTTCACTCCACTACTGTGAATTGCTGTGAGCAGCCGCAGCATAGATTAAGGGTATACCTGCACTACAGCTGCTGCAGTTGTGCTGCCGTAGCACCATAGTGTAGACATTTCGTACATCAAAGAAAGGGGGTTTTCCATCAATGTACTTAATCCACCTCACCGTGAGGCAGTAGCTAGATCGACAGAAGAATCCTTCCATTGACCTAGTCGCATGTACACTGGAGGTTAAGTTGACCTAACTGTGGTGCTCAGGGCATGAAATTTTTCACATCCCTGAGATATGTACTAGGTCAACCTACGTTTTAGGTGCAGACCGAACCTCAAGCCTCTACTGTTCTTGGACTGTTTTTCAGGGTGGTAGGTGGGGAATCAGTGAGAAGGGAGGAAGAGAAAACATTCACCTTTTACAGCTCTGAGTCTGCCATAGGCATGAGCAGCCAGTTAGCAACCTGTTGTCATGTCAACTGAACACTCATGTGCGTGATAAAGAAGACAGAACAGTGGATGGGCAGTAGTGGAAGGAACTATTGTTCAAGCATAACTTAAAATTGATTTAAAAATAACTCCATTTCCCATCCTTCAGTATTAGTGAGTGTTCTTATTTGGCTTTTCCCTTCCCTGTGTTAATACCATAGGCCCCGAGATTATTCCTGGTTCTAACACTTGATATCAATCTGTTTTCTAGGGATAGAGAGTTCCCATACCTAGTTCTAGTTCCATTTCTGGGGGAGTGACTTCTAAACCTGTCAACACTGCAGTAGGGCTGCATGGAAACATGCATTATTTTGGGCCTACTTGTAAATTTCCTCGTTTACTTGTTCTGCCCCTGAAGTGCGATGCAAGGATTTAATTTTGGAAGTTTGTTTAGTGGTTAGAGATTATCCTTGAATTCTGCAGCTAGGGTTGAATTGTACTGAAAGTCATCACAAGATTCAGTTCTACCATAACTTCTGTCAAAATTCCTTAAGTGGCAAAGAATTCTAGATGCCCTAACTCAGAGGTAGGCAACCTATGGCATGCATGCCGAAGGCGGTGCGCGAGCTCATTTTCAGTGGCACTCACACTGCCCGGGTCCTGGCCACCGGTCCA